GGGGCCGCGCGGCGCCCGCCGTGCTGGCGGCGCAGGACGCCATCGTCTTCTCGGGCGACGCCGAGGAGCCGCCCGGGGACGGGGCGCCCGCGCCCGCCGCCGGCACCGACGTCTTCTGGGCCAGCCTGGTGCGGGCGCAGATGTGCGTGTGGGACCTGCAGGGAGCCATCGAGGGCGGCCCCGGGAGCGTGTGCGCGGATGGGAGCTGCCCGCACGGGAATGTGTCCGCGGATGGGAGCTCCTCACACAGGAACGTGTCCGTGGATGGGAGCACCTTGAATGAGAGCACGTCCATGGATGGGAGCATCTTGCATGAGAATGTGTCCATGGATGGGAGCATCTTGCACAGGAATGTGTCCGTGGATGGGAGCACCTTGCACGAGAACATGACCATGGATGGGAGCATCTTGCACAGGAATGTGTCCATGGATGGCAGCTCCTCACATGGGATCGTGTCCATGGATGGGAGCATCTTGCACCAGAACATGTCCATGGATGGGTGTATCTTGCACGAGAACATGTCCATGGATGGCAGCTCCTCGCACGGGATCGTGTCCATGGATGGGAGCATCTCGCACAGGAATGTGTGCGCAGATGGAAGCGTTTTGCACGGGAACATGTCCACGGATGGGAGCGTCTTGCATGGGAATGTGTGCATAGATGGGAGCATCTTGCATGGGAACATGTCCACGGATGGGAGCATCTCGCACGGGAACGAGCTCCTGGATGGGAGCATCTCACACAGGAACAAGTCCGCAGATGGGAGCTTCTCAGATGGAAATGTGTCCATGGATGGGAGCATCTTGCACGGGAACGTCTCCCCGTGCGGGAGCTTCTCACACGGAAACGTGTCCCTGGATAGGAGCATCTCGCATGGAAATGTGTCCATGGATGGGAGCATCTTGCCTGGAAACACATCCACAGATGGGAACATCCTGCATGGAACCACGGCCGTGGTTGGGAACGTCCTGCAGGAGCGCGAGCCCGTGGAAGGGAGCGTCTCGCGTGCTGCGGAGCCTATAGAAAGGAGCCTCCCACACGACTTCACGCCTATAGAGAGGAACCTCTCCCACCTCTTGGTGCCTATAGAAAGGAGCCTCTCGCATACATCTGTGCCTGCAGATGGGAGCATCTCACATGAGTTGGGGCCTATAGAAGGGAGCCTCTCGCACGACTTCATTCCTATAGAAGAGAACATCTCGCACAAGCTGCTGCCTATAGAAGGGAACATCTTGCGTGAACTGGGGCCTATAGAAAGGAGCCTCTCACATGAGCTGGTGCCTATAGAAAGGAGCCTTTCGTACGACGTCGTTCCTATAGAAGAGAACATCTCGCACGAGCTGGTGCCTATAGAAGGGAACCTCTCTCATGAGTTGGCGCCTATAGAAAGGAGCCCCTCACACGAGCTGGTGCCTATAGAAGGGAACCTCTTGCACAACCTGGTGCCTATAGAAAGGAGCCTCTCGCACGAGCATGGGGACGAGGAATCCGAGGAAGAGGAGGAGGAGGCTGAGGGCTCGTCCTCCCAGGAGGAGGAGGAGGAGGAGGAGGAGGAGGCCGAGGAGGAGGAAGAGCAGCACTTCTACAGCAACCCGCTGTTCCGGGGGGGCCGCGCGCCGCGGTACCGGCCCCACGGGGCCGTCACGGAGCGGGACGAGGCGGACGTGGGGGGGCCGCCCGCCCCCCAGCGCCCTCCTGACGGCGGCGCCGAGCGGGGTGAGTGCCGGGACCCCGGCCCCACTGGGGCGGCTGGGGGGGGTGTCCCCCCCCCGGCTCCTTTTCCATCGAGTTCTTCTCCCTCCAGGATCCCCCGGACCCCCAGGCCTGGAGCTCTCCAGCCCCCCGGATCTGCCCCCAGGAGGGGGGCACTGGGACCCACCCTGTCCGCCGGATCTGCCTCCAAAAAAGGGGGGCTGGGACCCCCACAGCCCCCCAGATTTTCCCCCAGGAGAAGGGGACTGGGAATGTCCTCGTCCCCCGGATCTGCCCCCAAAAAGGGGAGACTGGGACCCCCCCATCCACCCGGATCTGCCCCTGGAAAGGGGGGATTGGGACCCCCCCAGCCCCCCAGATCTGCCCCCAAAAGGGGGGGAATGGGACCCCTCCAACCCCCCAGATCTGCCTCTAAAAGGGGGGGACTGTGACCCCCACCTTGCCCCTGATCTGCCCCCAAAAGGGGGGGACAGGGACCCCCCCATCTACCCAGATCTGCCCCTGAAAGTGGGGGACTGGGACTCACCCCTTGCCCCAGATCTGCCCCCAAAAGGGGGGAACTGGGACCCCCCCAACCCTACAGATCTGCCCCCCGAAGGGGGGGACAGTGAGCCCCCCATCCCCCTAGATCCGCCCCTAGACTTTGGCTACCAGCCCCCCTGTCGCCCTCCGTCCCCCCTCAATTTGCCAGTGGGAGGGGGGCGCTGGGACCTCCCCAGCCCCTCAGATCTGCCCCCCCC